ATCCAAAAACAAAGACGTTAAGGAATATTGAAATGTAAGGAAACAGTGGGAAAGATTTAGGGTAGTGAGCAGAAGGAAAGAATTCTGAGTACCATCAAAACAGGTACAGGCACCTCTTTAGTGTGCTCAGGTATAACTGGGCTAGTTCTTCATTTTTTGCTGGACATTTAGAAGTTTGTCAAAGTTAAACCTGAATATGTACCTATTACAGAAAGAGAAGGATAGACACAGCAAGAGTCAGAGATATGAACACATTTCTTTATTGAGAGTATTCAACTACAGAAATTTCAGTAAAACCATCTAACCGGTTTTACCAAAATCTTCCAATTCAACATTTCATTTGTCTTGGGTAACAAATATTACATGAATTGTTTTAGGTTTAAAGATAGAATGTGTCTTAAACCAAGAGTGAAATAATTTTTCTAAAAGAGAATGTGAGATGTTAATATTCATTGGGTCATACTATACTTTCATTTAAAACTAAAATGCTTTAATTAAAAAGGCATCACTTTCCTTCTCCAAAATCTCATTCTGTAGATAGTCTCAGGAAGTGTGAGAATAGGTCTCAGGGCATAAGGAACTTGTGCTAACTTGAACTCTAAAGTCACAAAACCTGTCTAGTAATACTCGACACATGCATGTGGAGGAATGTACACACACTCACACATGTGGACAATTTCTCTTTCTGACATTGACTTAATTTTAATTAATTAAAAATTAAATTTAATTTTAATTGCACTAAATAAATACAATTTAGTAAGAATTTAATAGAAGAGAATTAGAATATTTTAATTGTCTAAACAATTTTACATTTTGGTTTTTTAAGGACTTTGACTAATGAAGATGCAACCTTAAGTTTGATGTTCTGTTTAGGGATTTTTTTTTTTTTTTGGTGGTTGTTGTTTCTGGAACTTTTTTTTAATTTGCTTTTTTTTTGCACAAAGAATAATATATTCTGTGTTTCATCATAGTTTCCTCTGTAGATTTGTGTCTCTTTAAAACATACTCATATTATTCAACAGATACGTAGGTAGGTAAAGCTGATACTGCTGCTAATTCTAATCTCTTTAAGGAAACATTTATTTTTACACATAAGAAAAAAAAGCATATGCATTAATTAGTTAAAATTTATGTTATACACTATCATTCTAATTTTTCAAGTAACAGTCTATAACCTTCAATTTTCTCACATTCTTTTTATTTTTTCTAACACTTCAAATAAAGATAATATAAAATTTGCTCATAAATGGTAATGATTAAAGAACTTGATTAAAATGCTTCTATTAATTATGTACTATTAATCACCACATCCTTCACCTTTTCTTCAATCTCAATGTCTTTGATATTTTTTCTCTTCCTTTACTTAGGCCACTCATAACTAAACTAACTCTGAGACTATAAGTTTTAGCACCAACCCCCTTCAGCCCTAGGCAAACCAGGATGATTGGTCACCTTAATACCAGTTCACCCTCCAGTTACTTTAAGTACTCTACTCTCTTTCTCCTCCCCTTGGTCTCTTGGTTCACTCCTGAACTCACTGCAGCTGGGTTTCTGCCTTTATCACTCATACATATGGGCTTTGTAAGAATCATCAAATGACCTTTAACTAAGGAGACTTTCTAGTCCTTACCTCAGTGGGCCTTGCTGTTGGGTTTAATGCTGCTGATGCATCTTCCCTGAATCAATTCACTACTAAGGCTTCTACAGAAGTTCAGCTTATTGGTATTTATTGTGCTTTTAACTCTATTTCATGGGCAATCTCCCTCTACTTGTTTTTTGAAAGATGATTTTCCTCAAGATTCTATACTTGGTCATATCTTATTATTCTATAAATCCTTTGCATGGCTGATCTCACATCCTTTCATGTGGATGAGGACTACAGGATGAGGACTTTGAAATCTACTGCTCAGACTACCTGAAATATCTGTATGTTCCATGTGCCCATTGAGAAAGCTGAAATTTTATGTGTAATGACCTTCACAATGATCATATCTCTATTTCTTGTTGGTATTATCAGCAATTATTCACTTATGCTAAAAATTATATTATCCTCAATTATATTCTGTTTCATCTCTATTTAACTAATTACTAAATTGTTCAATTTTGCCTCCTAGATAATTTTTAAATGCATCCTTCTTTCTCAATTCTAATTCCTATTTTCTGTTTTCAAGAAATGGCCATCTGAATCACTGCCACAATTTCCCAAATCATCACATCACTACAGACTTATCTTCACATTCTTTCCTACGTGCTTAGTAGATTCTAGTACATTACACATGCTATAGACTACTGTATTTCTTACATAAATAATATTGTACTTGTTGCAAGCTAACTACCAATTTATCTTTCCCACAAAACTGTGAGCTTATTAAGAGAAGACCTATGCTTTATTGTTGTGTCTCTAGTGCCTACTTCTGGTGCCTGGCAAGTGATAAGGGTATATAAAATACTAAACAGATAGAAGCTCAGCTCAATGTGCTTTCCTAACACTATACACACTCCCTACCCACCTCTTCCAAAGAGCCTGGGGCCATTATGCTCTATGATTCTACCTAAAATATCTCCAAAATTGTTGCACATATGGTATACACTTAATGAATAGGTATAGAAATAAAGAATGAATATTATATTCTCTGGGCAACTGTTTGAAATGAATAAGTATTTTGCGATGTCATCTCATAGGCAATTAAGAAGTATTTTAAAAACCCAGATAAGGGTTAGGGCTGTAGCTCGGTGGCACAGCACTTGTCTAGCATGTGTGAGGCACAGGGTTTGATCCTCAGAACCACATAAAAATAAACAAATAAAGGCATCCTGGCCCTTTACAACTAAAAAATAAATAAAAATTAAGAAAACCCCACAATTCAAAGCATGTCTTTAAAAAAAAAAATTGTAGTTGTAGATGGACAGCATGACTTTAGCACCAACCCCCCTCAGAACTAGGCAAACCATTTGTTTTTTTTTTTTTTTTTTTTTTGTATGTGGTACTGAGAACCAAATCCAGTGCCTCACACATGTCAGGCAAGCACTCTGCCACTGAGCCACAGCTACATCCCTCAAATCATAGCATCTGCAGATAAACAGAGTTAGAGAAAATAATGCTAAGTAAAGTTAGCCAATCCCAAAAAACCAAATGCCGAATGTTTTCTTTGATATAAGGAGGCTGATTCATAGTGGGGTAGGGACAGGGAGCATGGGAGGAATAGATGAACTCTAGATAGGGTAAAGGGGTTGGAGGGGAAAGGAGGGGGCATAGGGTAATTAATGATGGTGGAATGTGATGATCATTACTATCCAGAGTACAAGTATGAAGACATAAATTGGTGTGAATATACTATGTATACAATCAGAGATATGAAAAATTGTGCTCTATATATGTAATAAGAATTGTAATTCATTCTAGTGTCATATATAAATTTAAAAATTACATAAAAAACACTGATCATTTCAATAGCACATTCTTTAAGGTGGATGATGTGTGAATGTGTGAAATGTTAACAGGCACATCATTGAAAATAAACAACAAAAAATTGCATGGAAACAAACAAACAAACATGTCTTTTAAAGCTTTCAAATGGTTTAGAAAATATCTTCCTACATAAATGCAAGTAATTCATAAACCACACATGTTAAGGTCTTTAATGTGAATACAAAGCCTTTAATTTTTTTGTGTTCCTAAAAATTGGCTTAACCTTTACAGTGAAAAAAGTACTTTGTATTTTGTAAAATATTAGGGCATTTCATGCAAAGCTCAGAGTTTTATTTAGCATATTTTTAAATGCCATACCAACATATTTTGGGGAGTCTAAAAATTTTATGGAATAAATAAATATACATTGCAAATGTTTTCCATAACAATAAATGGAAATGGAAAAAATAGAAGGAAAATAATGTATTATTATTTATAATAAGAATATTTGTAATCTTTAACCACAAATGAATATTTAAATTACCAGTTTGCTTTTAAGATAATACTGGCTAAAGTAAATTGCAAAAGACTTAATAAATCCGAATAAAACTTATTTATTAATTAATTTCTACTATGGACATTTGTTTCTTTCTAATGTTCACATCTTCTTATAGGAACATTAAATAGGTCCTCTGGTATCCTTAGCTCATTTAAGTAGTTCAATGAACTTAATATTTTTTGCCAGAAACTTCAGTGATTAGAGAAAAGAGATGTCATTTTCAAGATGTATTCTTTGGACATTTCTTATTTATGGAAAATCAATAACATATTATAACAGAGATGGAATCCTATAGCATTTTCAATGGAAAACTAAGATAAATGTAGATAATCTTAATTGTGACTTTGATTAACATTAAACAACCATTTAATTGTTAATAATAAACTACCTTTAAAGGAATGCTTTCTTTTTAAGAGAAGCAGTTTCACACAATAAGAAATGTAATATAATTTAAGTGTAGAATAATAGAATCCATGCATGTACTAGAATTATCCACTAAAATCAAGTTAAACCCACATATATATACATATATATGTATATATATGTGCTTTTATACTCATAATTCCCCATATTTTTCAGAGTTTCAAAAATATATTAAGATAAAATGACATATATTTGACTTTCAAAAATATTGAACTTGCTACTTATGAGATCTGCAAAACAAATTCACTTTAATGTCATATTTAAATGCATCGAATTTCAGATTAATCAGTTTTCCAAGGTAGACAGTTTGTAGTGAGCAACTAAAAATCATTTCTACTCTGTAATTATAATTAGGTAAGGAAAACCATTTCAGGATCTTACAATGTTCAATATTTTAGTATGACTTTTATTTTCTTGTTCAGTAGATATACTATCTATGCAGGTGTTTTAAGGTGAGAGATACGATAGCCAATTATAGTAGCCTATCCCAGACTTTCACAATAAAATAATAGTCCCATGTCCTAGAAAATTCTTTAGGCCTAATTCAAACCAGGACAGTTGTTAACACTCCTGAGATATGAACTAAATTTTCAGATAATAGAACCTTACCTTAACATCATTGGTGTTCATTCGGGTTCCCTCCTTTCCCACAAATATATCATCAATGTCAACGAGAATATATCTATCCAAGGACAGTTCCAGCTTCTTCCCTGACAAGAAGGAGATGGCATCTATGAAAATGAGCTTGTGCAGCCAAAAGTTCAAGTTGTTGCCAAAAAGAACTCTCTGAATTCCATCGTGAACACCTAAGTCGTGTATGATAGTGGCAAAAAAAGCACCTTTAGAGACTGGAGGAGAAAGATTTTCTGGGGTCTTTATTTTGGCAAATATTACTGGTTGGTAGGTTGAGTGATTAATTTGAAAAACCGTCCAGTCAGTTCCAGGTAAAGAACCCCTTTCAAGCTTTGATGATTTGGTCACACGGAGCAAGGGAGAATGAGGATTAATACAACAGTCTTTTACTGCAAGGTTTCCATATATAGAAAAGGGGAAGCCTTTTAACTGAAAGCTCTGTAGACTCTTCTCATTAGTTCTATGGAATCCAATGACACCCACACCATACTCTACACAGTATTTATCTAAAAGGCTTCGATTCCAAGAGTCCATATTTATGTATTTTAAAATATTCTCATAAATAATGAGAACATATTTGCCTTTAGTTTTGTCTGTAAGTGCTGGGAGATCTCCTTTTCCGGTAGCAATTTCAATGTGATATTGGAATCTACTTGATTCTAGAATCATAATGATGTCTTGACCAAGGGATGAGTACTGACTCTCCACAAACACAAGGACTATGGAGTCTGTCCTTGAGGCATCAAAAAGCTTCATTTCCTTCACTTCCATTAGTCTATATGGTAGGTGTTGGAGGTCACCGCAGTCCACTTCTGAAGCCACTTCAGAGAGTTCATTTTCCTGTTTGTAGCCACTGTACAGGTAGTAAGCAGAAATAATAATGCTCACCACACAAAAAGTGGCAAGCAAAATAACCGTCCTTTGAAAGTGTCTGTGAAGCCTCATGATAAAACTCATGATGTATAGGTTTTCCTTGACTCTTCCAACAGAAGCACCATTTAAAAAAGAAAAGAAAAGATGGTGTTTCAGGTACTTTCCCAGTCTCAGTCAATAGTTTATGTCACCATTGCAGCACATTTGTATTGCTTGATTATGACTCACAGGAAATACAGTCTGAAAACAGAATAAAACAAAACAGTTTTCAGCATCAAAATGAGCAAATTTTTATGTTATTTAGTATCAGACTAGGAAGCAGGGGAACTGATATAGGTTAGAAAACTTTCCATTCCTTCTCCCAGATATGGATGAAGACAAAGGAAATATGGAATGAGAAAAAGGGTATCACTGAACCCAGGTCACTATCCCTAATACAGAGAAACACTGGGCTTTGCATCACACTCTGGAGATAATACAGACCTAATACCACAGAAAGGTTACACTGCCATTTCCTATCATCCAGATACATATCATATATTGCATATTCAAGCAGTTTATGTTTAATTACACACATTGAAAGTTCACAAAAGTTTGGACATGTTTCATTAATTGACACAATTAAAACAAAAGTCTTTTTTCCAAAATATGAAGGCAAAAAATTTTGTCACTCAGCATACATTTCAAATTAATCAAAGAAACAACCCAATAATAGTTACTTTAATTAGAATAACCCTTTAAAAATACAGATATAATCCCACAATCCAACTGTTCATTTTAGAACTATATATTGACAAAGTTAGGTTATGTGATAAGACAAATGTGAGGAGTGAAACACTTCTTGGGGTCATACAGCTCTGTTGTATCATGATATGCACTGTGGGGGAGGTAGACAATCATGTTCTGGAGAATACATACTCACACATTTATTTTCTATCATTCTGTTTCTGCTTTGTGAGAAAATATCAGCAATTATATGAAAAAATGACTACAAAAGTGGGTTTTTTAAACAATGAGAACAACTGAGATGTCATGAAACACTTTGTTATGCAGTCATTTCAAACCTGTTTCAAATTTTAGTAACCTTTGAAAATTTAGCAACTGAAAATAATTAGAAAGAAACATGGGTACATTTTAGACTTTCACAGAGTCTCATACAAGGAGATATCATGTAACACATGCAAAAAAAATTAAGAAAAATCTCCTTGCTGTACTTAAGATAGGCTATTAGGTAGTTGGTTAAACAACAAACATTGGTGGAAAACATTGTACTTGATATTTACCATAAGTTTAGGATTCATTGTGCCTTGCTTCTTAATTGCCATTCTGTCCCCAATATCCTCCAAATAAAATGATGAGGTTAAAATAAATGATTACCAAGAACTCTACATTTTAAAATTCTGAAATATCTATCTGTAAAAAAAAAGCAGTGAAGGTTTTAAATGATGTATGTTTATCTTTATACATAATATAAACACTATGAAATATAACAATAGAATATTTATGATATTTAACTTGTAATTTATATTATTGTTTATTCAAATATTTAGGGTATCTATGTCATTCATTCAAATATTTATGGAGTAACTATCTGTTTAAAATACAAATGTTTGGCATAACTCCTTTGAAATGTTATAAATTTTAAAGCAGAGAGTGACTAAAATCATAATAAATGGGTTGTGCATTATAGGCAAGAAACTATAATGGGATGAAAAAAGAGAAACTACAGTAAGTGAAGTAGTATGTAAAATGCTCCAGGGAGATATAACTTGGGAAAAACCTTGAAAGATGAGAGTAATTTAAATAAACACTTGAAATATTGGGGATGTCATAGAGCCAGAAGTGAGCACAATATTGGGTGAATTACCTGAATGAAAAGTAGAGGTACAAGTGAGGAATACTTAAAAAAATAAATTTTACCCAGATTATGAAGAAGTTTGATACAAATAACTTTATGGTTATGAAAGCTCACGGGCAGACATTATACTTCCCTGATTAGGGAACAAGCATAGTAACAGGAACATTTTTCAGGAATTAGAATTAATCAGCATCATGGAGAATGTCATAGACAGTTGAGTCTGGCTAGCCATATACGTACAATACAGGCTCATTTCCTACAACATAATCATGAAATGTTAGTGGTCATGGGAAAGGGATAATGTGGGGAAGTGAGGGATACTTTAGGTCTGTGAAACACTTTAGATCTTGCTGAAGAGTACTTGGTATGCCATGTGAAGTGTGTGCACAGCCTGACTGCAGTGGAAAATGCCATCAAATGATTTGACATGCTTTAAAATAAAGCTACTATAAAGGATAACGCTGTACTCTTTAAACAAGCTTAGTACGGGTCTATGTGTAATGTAAGCAAATGAAAACATTACATGAACAATGGAGAGTTTTCATTGTAACTACAGTCATTTCATTTTGATAAGTAATTACACTTTTGAATTTGTTACATGTTTATGAATATGATATTCTGGAGTTTAATGGCAGTATACAAAATCCCACATCTTTCCCTGTCTACCTTTCAATTTCAGCTGTGAAATGTTTTTGACTGGATATGAGATGTATTGCTTCATTTTGCATTTCATGTAACATTTCCCAATTTGTTTCCTTCATCAGAAGTAAAATGTATTTAAGTGATATAGTACTTATCAGTGATGAGGCAAAGGGTGAGGAATATTTTCACTCACTATTTAGAACTGATATTAGGAACCTATCACACTTATATTTTTTGTTAACAGGTATAAAATGTTGAAGAGCTTTTTTTCCCCATTAAACTTTTCAACTTACTTTCTGATGCCAAAGGAATTCCACTGTATGTCCCTGAGGGTAGAATTTGGTCTAATGAATTTAAATAGATACATTAAGTTTCCCCTATTTTCTGCAAACAGTTTTTTTAAAAGAGAAGGGAGAGGGAGAGAGAGAGAGAGAGAGAGAGAGAGAGAATTCTTAATATTTATTTTTCAGTTTTTGGTGGACACAACATCTTTATTTTATTTTTATGTGGTACTGAGGATCGAACCCAGCGCCCCGCGCATGCCAGGTGAGCACATTACCGCTTGAGCCACATCCCCATCCCTGCAAACAGTTTTTAATTGCACATTTCACTTGGCTGTGGCCAACTTTAATCTCTAGTGTGGACTCTCTAAATGCATTATTTTTCCTTACCCAGAAACAACTGTTTCATATTTTCTGCTATGTTTATGTTCTGAAAATCCCAGGATGAAGTTCTACAATGGATGTCACTGTAGCAGTGGGCAGAGGCAAAGGCCTTACCTTCTCCTGAGCCTGCTCCACACAGCAGGGACATCACTAGAGCAGGTATTAAGATAGATGATTAAGTTTCTCCACAAAATTCTCCTATGAAACTTTCTCTGGCCTTCTCAACTTGGTAAGACCCAATAGGTCCACATGGTCATTGTGCAAAGTATCTCTTCTTTGTACTTATTGCCATAATTATAATTAAATTTTTGTTTAAAGTCATTCTCCCAATTGGACTAGAAGCCCTGAAAGGATAGAGTTAATGCCTCTTTTGTTCTTCATTGTTTCCCTTGTTCCAGGACCAGAGTGACTATTCATGAAAGTTATTGAATATAATGGCATGTTATACCTATCCATTAATTTGACACTTAGAAGTGTACTCTAATGTCATAACTTTTACAGTTATATATGACTATAAATGTGATTATAGTTACTCATAAATTTGATAAACTTATCATCTGCTTTACTGTACACTAAGTAAATATAACTATAGCAACCCAACATATGATAAATCTAATATAATATCAATAAACCTTCATCCACTAAAGGTACCTATCAATTAATCATTCCATAATCAGTCATTAAGTAGTTATTAAAAATTAAAGGGGGGGGGAGGGTGGAGGATGGGAAAGGCAGCGGAGCACAACAGACACTAGTATGGCAATATGTAAATCAATGGATGTGTAACTGATGTGATTCTGCAATCTGTGTATGGGGTGAAGGTGGGAGTTCATAACCCACTTGAATCAAAGTGTGGAATATGATATGTCAAGAAATTTGTAATGTTTTGAACAACCAACAATAAAAAATTTAAAAAAAAAAACATACCAATAGGGGACTGGGTTTGTGGGTCAGAAAAAAAAAAATTAAACTTGCCTTTATAGAAATGGATTCTATTGAGGGAAATGAGCCTTGTAAACCAGCATTGTGCTGCACATAGTAAAAGTTGTAAGACTATCTATGTTACAGGTTTCAGAAGAAAGAGAGTGTGTGGGTAGGGGAGATTAGTAAAGCTTAGGAGAGTCAGTGGCAGTTTCTAACAGTAATGGTGCCTGAGAAGACATGGGCAAGGCCTGGATATGGGGATGGGAAAAATACAGAATGAAAAAAAAAAAACTGGCCATATTGAAGAAATAAAATAGTTATAGTTAATTTGCTTGAGTGAGAATAAACTATGGGGCACTATGTGTTAGGATGAAACTGGATAGATAACATTTGTTTGAAAGAATGCTGCAGATTAATGAATGCCCTTGATAATAATTGTTAAGTACAAGAGTATTGACATGTAAAATATTTGAACATAGAGGGACAACAAAAAGAGTTTTAGATGATTAGCGTAGCGGTGACATCCAGAATGGACAAATAGTAGAAATATGAACAGAGAATGTCTGCTACAGAGTGAAGAAGTAGGTATAGTCAAGATAGTCCCAGCCAAGGGGCTGCTGCAGTAATCCATATAGAAAGTGGTGTGAGCCTAAACTAATGTAATCATCAAGGAGAACAGAAATGAAGAGATACTTGGGAGTAAAATAGAAATTATGGATGGAGAAGTTTGTAGGCTTTGTTTACAAATAAATTTGCCAGCCTTAGAAACAGGAACTCAGAGTAGAAATTAGCTTGTTATATACATTTCAGATGCAGGCAGGTGAAGTAACTAAATGATATGTAGTCAGGTAACAAAATCACAATGTCCTATAAACTAACTTCAAGCATATGATTGAAACTGATGGGTTACTAATGAATCTCACTGTGCTATGTAAACTTAGTTCCTCAGAAAAGGCTTTCCTGACCAAATCCACTTACCCACCACTGCCTTTACCCTCACTGAAGTCTTTATCACAAATCTTGTTAAATATAAGTTTAGAGCTAGACTCAAATTGCCAAAGCTACATGCTCCTATTATTTTCAATAATTTTTCAAATAAGAAAATGTATAAAAGCATTTTTAAAAAACAAGACCAAGAGTTAAACACTTTG